CTTTGAATGATTTTACAAATTATCGATATCAGACAGATCGACCGATAGTTTTCAGGATCCTGACGACCTCCTCTCTTGTATGTGGGCTTCACAGTACCCTTTCTTCCAAATCCTTGGAAGGCGCCCGGCATCTAGGGAACGCCGAAAAACTTGGCAGACAGAGAAGCAATGTGCTGAGCTACCGTCTTAAGGAACAAAGGATGCAGCTTATTCAGACCCGGTGAGGATTTAGGATTTACTTCAAGTAGTAGTCGCCTAACCACTTCGTCACTGAGCTCAACCTGCTCTAGTGTAGATGGGGCGAGGTGACCAAGTCGTGGGATAATGGAGCTTCGATGGAAAAGGCGGTGGAATACTGTAAAGTCAAGCGATCCACTTTGACATCATCATTGCTAGAATTTAGGGCAGGTACCTCACGCCCAACTTTTGTACTCCTTTTCAGATACGAGCACAGTAGTTTGGTAGTGGTCTTGGATTTTTATGCCAAACGAACTTCTTACTGTTGTCGTTTCTCGCGTTTCGTTTGTGTGCAGAGGTTCTTAACCGCCGTATAGTTCGAGTAGTTTAGAACCGATGTTGTATGCCTAAGTCTATCCCATAGTCTGCGTCGTTTATTTTCAAGATTCCGTAACTCATGATCGATCCAAGGAGGGTCCTTGGAAAACTGCTTTTTTTACAGAGGGAGACTATTTGACCAATGAGTGACATCATTAAGTGTGTAAGTGGCCCCAGCCAAAGTCAATGTTCGGGAGTACTTGAATCAAGTCTCAGACGGTGTGGGTCCGCACGCCAGAAGTTCCGACGGTACACACTCTGGTCATGAATGGTGAGACGGCGTGTCCATTCAAACGAAACCACACAATGATCACTTTTGCCAATAGGTTGTAGTACAGTCAGTGAGGAGACATCTGAGTAGGCCGGTGAGAGTACGATGTCCAAGATGTGTGGAGCCTGGCCTGGATATATTCTAGTGGGCGCTGCAACATGCTGGAGCAAATGACAACCAAGAATAGTTTCGAGGAGAAGAGAATCGAAAGAATCCGGAGAGAGGTTACAATGGAGCAGATCCCAATCAATAGCAGCAGCATTAAAGTCTCCCATTATCAGACAGTCTCTACCCCTGCCGTGCTTCTTTATCGACTCCAGTAAGCAAGTTCCGGACCCCATAGGTGCTCTGTAAATGACACCGACCATAAGAGACCTACACCCGTCATGAATCCGACACCACAAAAGCTCGGAAGCAGCATCGTTGCCGCAGACTGCTTCCACAGGATGGGCCCTGAGGCTCTCCTTCCAGTACAGAATCACACCACCCCCAGACCTCACTCCAGAACGGTCGGACGGAGAGAAGTGATACCCCGGAATTTGAACCTCTGAGTCTAGTATGTCCGAAGATAACCAGGTTTTTGTAAAGGCCATTAAATCCGGTTGTTTCTCTGAAGTAAAGAGTCGAATTTCGTCAAGCTTGTTTCTTATGCTGCACACATTGGCAGTTATCACTTGTAGCCCATCCGTTAGTGTTGCTGCCTGGGAATGGTGAGGATTGATTTCCATCGAACTCTCTGTGCTTTCTGCACCACGCGAAAATCCACACCATGGGAGATTAAGCACCATTTGCCAGACGTTTCTTTAGCTTTTTGACAGCGCTCTTCATTCGAATCTTATCTTCTGGAGAAAGGTCTCGCAGTACATGAGACGTGAAGTCCGTCTGAGAACCCGACGGTATTCATCTTCATTCCGGCAGATAACCTTGAGGGGACGAGTTTTCGAGCAAACTTCTTGCTTCCTGCCGAGACGAAAAGCAAAAACAATATCGATGCCCATCTCGCCTTCGTCGAAAAATTTACAACCCATTCGTTATAGCAAGTCCTGATCGTCTAGTATCCTAGCAGCCGCAGTATCCTTATCGGATTCAAGAACGTTCATAATGCTGAAGCATCGATCCCTATTTGTTCTGTTCTCACCAACCGGCGCCTTGGGAAGTAGGTTGTTTTTAAACAGCTTTTCCACTTGGCATACTCTGTCAGTAACTTGTTTTAGTTGGGGAGAAGGAAGGCTTGGCTTTAGTTTGGGTCTTGTTGCGCTTCGGACTACTTTTCTCTGAACGACTTCGCTCCGGTTAACGGAGACTGGAGCTGCACCACTACTAACAGCTGCTGCGTACGTTTTGGGTTTAATATCTTTGCTGCCATCAGCAGGCATCAGCGGCTCCGAAAGCGACGCAGATAAGGCCCGGCTATGTTTGACGGCAGGATTGCTGGTCTTGGTTTTACGTCCGCTACGTGCCATGGTCACTGACGATGAAGCAGAGGAGTCTCTACTAGGACTTATGTTCGTAGTCGCCGAGCTGGACACGGCGATTGGCGGGAGGGGTCAGCCTTTGTTTTTCGTGTGTTGGCAACAGGGCTGAACGCGAATGAACAGATACCGAAGCTCTTATCCACCTCAGCCGCGTAGCACGCGTCACCAACAAAAAAGACAACCGAGGAGGAGGTTCATCCAAATTAGCTTTGATATTGCAACTGGCAATATGCAGCCAGCCATTGCTTGTCTTGCACTGCACGGTCCTTGAGCGGATGGTGACTGCCTTGCGGCAATCCATGCACTTTGATGCCATTATTTCTCTTGTATGGGTGGACGTCCTCGCGGTATGCTCAGCCCGCGCGCGACTGGTGATGGTCGCGCGGCAGTGAAGCGCCGTTACGGCGTACAGCTGGCACATTATTATTCTTTATTATTATTTTTCTTTTATTTGAGAAGGGTTTGACTAAAGTCAACTTATGTTCCCATGGTCTATTCAAGCACTGTTTTCAACGATATTTCAGCTTAGAAATCGAATCACTATGACACGCCAAAAAATCGAGTTACCGCCTAGTACTCACAGAGTCCACTATCTCGTCTATATTGGCTACAGGAGATAGTTGGTCGTCGCTGGAGGGAATGGGGTGCACAGTCCTTGTGGCCGTGCTAGGCTCAAAGAGCGGTTCCATGCACTCAGTGTGGAGCGGACTACGGTCCAGCCACCGCCTTGTGTGCGCTTGATTCCCCAAATACAGCGTGCTTGTGTTTGCCTGTGAAGGAGTGTGGGCCGGCTCCGTTGATGAAACGTGGCTCCCATCCACATGCCTCCCGGTCTTATTCCTTCGGGTTTACATTGGATACGGGGTGTGTAGATAGAGGTGTTCGTGGTGCTGCGCAAACCATCCATAGTCCCCCTGTAGGCGCAGGTGTTCTGTGGCTGGCCAAAGTGACAGACGAATCCGGAACCGGATGTCGCCAATTACATATATATATATATATATATATATATATATATATATATATATATATATTTGCGGTGCTGTTTCAGAAGGTTTCCTCTTGAACTTCTATACCTAGCTTAGTGCGCTATCCGGCATCAATTTGTTGATCGGCCGACCAATTTCATATAGTCACAATCCGTCCCGGCCATTTTGAAGCACTCACTGTGATAATAGATTGCGACACGCAGTCTTACTGTGAACCGCCATTTAATTCACCACACGGTTCCGGTGATCGAATTGAACAAGCTTTACTCTAATGCTAAGACTGATCGCCGTCATCTGCGCAGTGTTGTTCGTGTTTGATGAGAGTACTGGTTAAATAAGGCTGCACGTTACCATTAACCGTTTGGCAACAGACTGCGGTACTGCACTTGAGTGTCTATAAGACTGCAGGTGCACATACTGACCCCTTCAGGTCCTTCGCATGCGTGATATTTGGCTGTCTCGACGTGTTATTTACTAAAGGCTATTCGCTATCATAACTGAAGAGCATCAAGAGGTCCAGCGGAGGGCTTACTCGGGTTGGTGTTTGTTCTCTTTATGGATTATCTGTCAGCCTTCTGAGTACCAGTTTCATTAAAAAACCTACAACTAGTCGAAGCTCGATCTGCTGTGTCGCTCTTCCTTTTACTTTAGTTGGTTTTTGAACAGTCCACTGCCTCTCTTACGCCGCAGTTGCTACTGGACTTAACTATATTTTGGCGGAATGCAGTTTACACTTTCGCTAGTTTGGCTTTCCGACGCCTCTCCCCCTTGTTGCTAGACCATGTCTCATCATATCTATCCAAGTTTTGGTCCTCCCTCATTTCTCTTCATGTTACTTTTCCTTTTTTGAGTTACGTGAGTCATGTTTTCCAAAAGGAACCATATTGGCTCCAATACACGACGGGTGCCTCACCATGGTTAGGTAACTCGAGGTAGCAGTACTGGTTGCCACCGGGCGCAAATCTCAAGCTTTGTTGTCTAAGTTTCTGCCAGTGTTTCTTCAGTAGATATCATGTCATACTTCTACCTGGGAAGATTATAAAAAGCAAAATGAGGCGGCACTTCGATTGTCACATGTATTTTTGTTTATCTTGGGGAAGACAGTGTCTCTAATTCACCGCGGTACAGGGTCTCCGTGTTTACACGATTCTCGAGGCTCTGACTTTGTATTCTTACAGTCAGCTAGCACATACAGCATCGTTTATCTTCGTTATTGATTGTGACACTAGAAAGCATCAGCACTACGCCGACACGCCGTACGCTGCCTCTGTCACGTGACCACCAACAATCGCGCGTGGGTTGAGTATATCGCGTGGTTGCCCGCACCTACGCTGATTCGAAACAGTGACCTCCGGATTTCACTGCATGTGTGTAATCCTTTCGGCCATCGGCCGGAATGATACTGACACCCACTCTAAATAAGACTGCTCGCAGTTAACACTTACCATTGCTTTACCTCACGTTAATACTGGTCTTATTATTATTATTATCATCGACTTTTTTATCGGATTGAGCTAATCAGTCTTTATCATCTTTCGGCACTGATCCTGAGAAGAAAAACCAAAGCAGCAAGCCGAAAGCGAACAATTATTTTCAATTACTCATTCGTCAGGGATAAACTTGGGAACAATGTTGGTTTTTATTCGTTAGCACACGAAACTGAGGCATTTGATTGGATGATTTGAACTGTGATCACATCTTGTTTCCATTTCAGTACTTCCACGGTCACGCCAACATGGACGCTCTAAGGGAACAGCTGATGTCAGAACAGGACCGTACCTCCAAGTTCAAGCAACTGGTTATAAAGGAAAAGAAAACTAATGCTCACTTGTCAGGTGAGGTCAGACGGTTATCTTCTGCGCTAGAGGCCTCAAATCAACAGAAAAGAATGTTAGAGAATGAGCTGAATAAACTCAAGGAGGAAATCGCTTTTTTCAAATCCTCGGCTCTTTGTCTAGTCCAAGAATGGCATGCTTCTGAGAGTGTACCTGAACTCAGCGATCTTAAGAGGAAAACACCTGGGAATCGTTCACCTATTCTTAAGGGCCATGCACTCATCAATCAAAAGAACACCACTTCCGCTTTGTATGAGCATGCACGTGAGACGTTTCGTAATGGGATGATGCCAGAATCTAACGTCGCGGATGTTTTCAGTTTATGTGATGAAAACGAATTCTTTTGCAACGTGAACGATGATAAAGTTAACTCATTGTACTCAGATTTGAAATCATATCGGTCAAGGAACACATTTTCTCAATTAAAATCACAGGATTATTGCTCTGAGACCGTTTCTCATATTGCCTTCGAGAACAGGGGCTTATTGCATAAAAGGTGCACACAGCGACATCACTGTTTGTGTGACTCGTCACTGCATCGATTTCATCCCAGAGTTTTAAGTTTACCGTCACTGGACGATTCTGCTTACTGCTTTCACTGGCAACCATCGCTAACACCTGCCAACTGCAAATGGCGTGAAATTTTGCTCAGTCACTTAGACCCCATTCTCAGCAATATAGAAGACTTTGGAAATAGAATACCTCGCGATATATTCCTTCTCCAATGTGCAAATCTTCTCGAAAGAGCCGCTGCATGCCATTCGCATTCTAAAACAACTAACGACATGCGACAAGTTGCCGCCTTTCCAAACTCTACCGGTGATCATTCAATGGCTTTTGAAGTTCTTTCGGAGCTTTGGAACACTTTATTCCCAGACACTTCGTTGAATGCTACAGAGGTTTACAGCACCACTACTTTCCAACTTGTCTTAAACAAAGTTCGCGAGCTGAAAACACACGTAGAGTCCCTTTTATGCGATCACCGTACCAAAGATACGCAGGACTATGATTCCGAAAAAATGTCGCGTTTGGAAGCTAGGGTTCACGAAATGGAGATTTATGCTTCCGATCAGGTGGATCGAGCCAAATCGCAGCTTATTGAGTTAACGCAGAAAATCGAATTGCAAGCAACCGACTACGATCAGTTGATCCGTGACAAAGAATCAGAAATATCCGAGCTACGCGAGCTTTGCGATCGTCTCTCTGAGGAGCTTGCTGTTTATTCTAATTTTTGGTATTCACTCATGACATTTTATTGCGCTGTATGCCCTAATTTGACTCCGCCTGAAAGCTTTGTTGATTGGTCATCGGTCGCCAGCGAATTCCAGGCCAACGATTTCTGTATGGAGGCCCAGGAACTTACACGTCTTTTGGGCGCATTCTCACAGGAGTTGAAGTTATTTCTCCAGGGGAGTGCTAATGCACCGCTTACTTGCGATGTTGCAACAGGAAACGATCCGCCATTTGCTGAAGTTGTTCCTAATGATGTCACTGCTGAACATGCAGTTCGGAATGCAGACGAGTGGCGTATTTTACAAGCGCAGTTGATCGACCTCCGAACCGAATTGTCCAACACTAAGAAAACGTCTACGGAAGCCATGGCATCTTCGACTGAGGCGCAAGAGAAATTGTTGAAACAAGAAGAGAAGATTCAGCGAATGAAATCTATGCTTTTGCGGCTGAAGCAGGAAGAAAGTGATCACCGAGTTGATTTACAACGAGCACAAGAAGACATTTCACGTTTGCAAGGCGAATTGAGCGTAGCTCTAGAAGAGTCGAACAAACTCAGGAGCTATAAAGAGCAATCGGAAAAAGCTGCAACGTCTAATCTGGATGAAATTTTCAAACTCAAATCAAACATTTTGAATTTAAAAGAAGAACGGGATTTCGCTATTGACCGGTTCAGAAAATTGCAAAGCGATTTTAGTGCCTATAAGATAAAGGTTTGATATTACACGTTCCAGTTATTGTAAATTTTTCTATATATGTTGTTTGATCACTGTGGATCTTTCAAACATTATTTGCTAACCTTTCAATCATAGCTCTAACCTATCCTCGCTGATAGATAACAGCCATTAAAGTTTTTGTTTTTCAATTCCGTGCAAGAGCATAGGGGCATAAGCTTGAGAAACTCGTAAATGGGGCACAACATTTACACTTTTGTAGAGCGCCTTCGAATTATGATCTGCTTCCTGCTAGTCGGAAGCTGGGGAGGTAGCATTCGTGGCGTGCCGGGGACCGAGTCGGTGTTGTTGTTCACGCGGACTCTCGTCACACATATTTTTGGTCAAGGTACGTACCTAACAAGTTCATTGGATCAATCGTTGGTTAGTTCAACTCGGTCGTGGTTGGAGCACCGCCATATTTATTGGCGATCCATCGTTGTCGTGTTTCTTGACATAAAGGGTGCCTTCGACTCAGTCGATCGACGTGCCCTTTTGGACTGTCTGCTGTGAAAAGGTGTACCTGATAAATATGTAAACATTATCAAAGCGCTGTACGCACATAGTTCGGGCGGAGTGAGAATTTATGGCAAACTATCGCCACCCTTCAGTATCATCAGTGGTGTGAGATAAGGTTGCCCGTCGTCACCTTTCCTCTTTAACTTCGCTATTGATGAAGTCATGGAAACAGTGTTCGCTGGACACGACCTAGGAGGTGAGTGACTATTTGACTTGGAGTATGCGGACGATATTGCCCTAATCTGTGACAGCTCCCAAATATACCAAGCAACACTGGACCGATTAGCACTGGCTGTCAATCCTTTTGGGCTATGCTTTGCTCCAAAGTACTTCTCCAAGATTGGCAAAGACCCAACGCTGCGCTAACGCTTGGTGGTGATCTGCTAGAAGTCGTTCAAGAATTCAAGTACCTGAGCAGCTATATTAGCACCCGTGGGATCGAAGATGAGGTTACGAACCGTATAGCAAAAGCTCGAGGTGCTTTTGTCAATCTCCGCTACTTGTGGCGCAGACGCGACATTTGCCCTGAAGGGCAGAGTTTATAACGCAGCCGTCCGTTCAACTCTCCTATATGGTTGTGAAGCCTGGCCCATCAGGTCGACAGACATAAAGAGGCTCGTCACATTCGATCATCGCTGCCTTCGCAACTTAGCTCATGTCTGGTGGGAGCAATGAGCGTGTTCGACGTCGCGTATTTGGTGCAGGAAGAGCGAGTGAACCACTCAGCACCATTATATCACGCACCAGGCTCCGATGGTTGGGCCACGTGTTGCGCATGCCAGCACACCGACTTCAGCGAGGTGCATTGTTTGCGCGTTGTGGATGCGGTTGGAAGAGGAGGCCAAGCAATGGCTTGGTCGAGAGAGATGAAAACCCTCACTTCGAAGTTGGTGCCTGGCTGGGGTCCTAAGGACGATGAACACGTTTGGTTGGATTCGGCCCCAATGGCGTTTGTGTTGCGGGTTCCTTTGTCCATTCCCCTCCTACTTAGCCTCTCCCTGCAATCACATTCGCATTCGTTAGGCATAACATAACTTTTTGAGGCATGATAGCCGTCTGTTAGCTTTCCGGAATGGTGTCCATCCCTCACTGGGGACTCAGCCGGTGTGCCACTGTTTGTTTCCCTTTTCTTGTCTTTTGTATTGCGGCACAATAGCCGAGGTGTTTTCCACCTGCAGCTAACGTGTATAATGATGATGATGATGATAATCGTTCAACTATGATTCGATCACCAAAGTGCGATGAATCCGGCTGCCTTGATCCACCTCGCCAATTTATAGTTTAAGGAAAAAGAGCAAGGAATTAGATCGACAGACGGAGCACTTAATGTTCAGCTATGTGGGAACGAATGTATCATCACCATTATATTGGATGAAGTGTCTAACAACTAATATGGTTCATCCCAATGTGCGCATCCGAGAAAACGATAAACACCACCCTCAGCATTCAGTGAGTGTACTCATCCTCTTTCACCGTGTCATTGACTGCTCACCGTGCATTTTGCCAAATGGTCCCAACAGACTGGGGCTGCTCCGTTATGGTCCCAATTTTCAAAGGGAGCCCACTTTCGGAATGCGGCAACCATACGGAAATCAGCCTAATCTCTGTCGCTTCTAGGTTACTTGCCTTTGTAAAGGTCATCGGCAATACTCCGGCACATCGTACTGATGCATCTCCGCCACGCAACCACTACCGGTCACGCGTGGGGTGAGTATGCCACAAGGTCACTCGCAGCTAGGCAAATTCAAACCGGCGACCTCCGGATTAAAGGGTAGGTGTTTAATCTCTTCGGCACCGGCCTCTGTCGTTCTTCACAGCTTTGCACGTGTGAAAGCCAGATTCGTGAAGAACAAGCCTGAGGAGAGACCGCGAATCTTGGTGGTCTCATCGTGCGTCAGAGATGGAAGTGGCCGCTGCCCTTGGCAACCATCGTGAGTTATTCCGTCTGATACGGGAAACGGGCAGCAGGAGACCTGGTGTTAGTGAAACTATACGTGACGAGAGTGGCCAGCCTATCCACAATTTGTCAAAATGTCTGGAGCGTTGGGCTGAGCATTTTGAAAAGCAATTTAATCGGCAAGAATTGTTCGATTCGCCGGTCACTGATCGCCCCGCTCCGTGGGCTGTCCCTTTGGAACCACCCTCTCGCTCAGAAGTCGAACGTGAGATCGGACTGTTGAAGTTGAACAAAGCCGCGGGACCAGATGATCTTCCTCCAGCCCTCTTCACATTTGGAGGCTCTGCTTTTTTTGATGCTTTGCATGAATTACTAGTGAAACTGTGGGAGCAGGAAACTGTCCCAACCGACTGGAGCCGCTCCGTTATTGTTCCCATCTTCAAAGGCGGCTCGCGCTCGGAATGCGGCAACCATAGAGGAATCAGTCTGATCTCCATCGCCTCCAAATTACTCGCCTCCAGAATCCTTCACAGGCTGACTGGCGCTCGTGAAAGCCAGATTCGTGAGGAGCAAGCCGAGTTTCGTCGGGGTCGTGGCTGCATCGACCACATCTTCACCTTGCGTCAGTTGTTGGAGCACCGTCACACATATTGGCGGCCCACCGTAGTCGTGTTCCTCGACATCAAAGGTGCCTTCGATTCGGTTGATCGATGTGCCCTTTGGAATTGTCTACTCAGGAAAGGTGTGCCCGAGAAATATGTAAATATTATCCAAGCATTATATGCGCGTAGCACGGGGCAGAGAGTGAGGGCTTACGGCAAGCTGTCGCCACCCTTCAATATCTCCAGCGGTGTGAGACAAGGATGCCCGCTGTCACCTTTCCTATTCAACTTCGCCCATCGCAATGAGGCTGGACCTTACCGTGGTGCGATGGTTTGCGTGCCTCAGAGATCCATTGAGCTATGCTGGGTGGTGCTTTTTTTTGCACCTTTAGAGCCACTCATACCAGATTGGTCAGTGGTTAGAGGCCAGACAAACTCAGCCTCCTGGTCCTCCAGGTTGGGGGTTGGAATGGGGGTGGCTCCTCATTTCATAAAACGGGCTCTGTAGTCCAGTGCCAAAACCCGCTGCCTTGCGGTAAGGTTTTTGAACCAAAGGCTTTGGTTGAGAACCCTAATCGTTCTCCTGTCTAGGCCTGGGCAACCTGACAGTATTCTGCCCACGCAATACAATGAACCTTTCCTACAACAGTTTCTTGATGCTCTGGCCGTCGCAGAGGATAATAAACGGCGCCCTATCTGCTGCATCGAGCAGGGTGGATAGGGGTTTGGATGCTACTGCTCAGGCCCTCCCGTCTTCTTATACCCCTTCTTGCGCTTCTGCATCCTTATTGTCCCGCTCCAACTTTACTTATATCCCCCCATTTTCAATCCCCCAATTCTTGGCCCTCCCCCAGCTTACTTCAATAGTCGCTTGTCTTCTAATTTCAAATCACACACAATCGCAGGGCCTCGCTCCAATCCAGTCGATAAGTCTATGTTCAACCAAGCGGACAACGTCAATTCATCCGTTTCCCTTTGGAGTCCTCGTGTCTCGCTAAGATTGGCATGCCTCAACGTGCGCACTTTGCTGCAGATTGGCCAACAGACAGCACTTGCCCGCACACTAGAGACCCTATCGATCGATATTTGCTGTTTATCAGAAACCCGCCTGCAAGACTCGAGCTCCGTGCTTACCCTGAGATCCCCCACATGCGACACTGGCGGCACATTCTCATTGCGCCTATCTGGCGATGATGCAGCTTCAAATGCCGGTCAAGCTGGCGTCGGCATTGTTTTGAGTCCCCGGGCTGAAGCTGCCCTGCTTGATTGGATCCCAGTAAACAGTAGGATGTGTGCCGTTAGATTAGCTGGTTCGTTCCGTGCTTCGAAGTCGCGCGGGGATAAACGGTGCCTGTTTGTCATTGCTGCCTACGCCCCTCCAAACTGCAGCACTGATTCGGTAAAAGATGATTTCTATCAGCAACTTCACGAGCTCCTTCGTTACAGAAGAAGCACGGATACTGTGGTGTTGGCTGGCGATCTAAACGCCCAAGTCGGAAAATTGTCCTCTGATGAGCTTCATCTGGGCGGCCAACATGGTGTAGGCTCCCGTAATGATAATGGTGAGCGATTGCTCCAGCTGTGTGAAGATGCTCGCCTGTTTCTCGCGAGCACTAATTTTCGGCACAGCACCCGCAGAAGTGTGACTTGGCGGCCACCAGCCTCGGGCCAGTCATGGACGCAAATCGATCATATCGCGATCACTTACCGCTGGAGAGGCTGTGTCCAAAACTGTCGCTCGATTTGGAGCACGAGCGTGGACTCTGACCACGCACTTGTCTGCGCCGAACTTCGAGTGCGTTTCGGTGGACGTCCGCGACGTCGATGTGAACGGATTGACACTAGCCAGCTGGCGAAGTCAGATGTTCTGAATGTGTACCAAGATGCGCTGACATCTGTGCTGAGTAAGCGCCCACTAAACACCGTTGAAGATCACTGGTCGCACACTCGTCAAGTGTTGCTGTTAGCAGGCATGTCTTCAT